CCTAAAAGAGTCTCCTGTATTTTTCTCCTGCCTGCTTTGAATGGACCTTCTGATTATTTCAGGTTTTTCTCCCTGTTTTTTCTTCTTCTATAGAGAATACGTTAGTGTAGACCTGAAAATAGTTGCATAAGGTTCCTTATTCTTTATGACTGTTCTAATAACGTCTACTCTGAAAGAGACATCACATTTTGACTCAGAGGTTGTTACATTTAATAAAGGATGCGTGGATCTTTCCAAATGCTGTGTAGCTCTAGAAAAAGGTTTTACTTATTTTCTAGGACCCAGGGTATAGCAAGTAGTGTTTCAAGTGGTTTGTGGCTGTGAAGAGCTTGACCAATCTCAGTGAAGTACTTTTTCTCCTCATCATTCTTTTTTTCCCTTTTTATCCTTGATGGGACTTTGGAAAAATAATTATTTTTCATTAGTTATTTTCAAAACCAATTTTGATTTTTTTTTTTTAAATGAGAGAAGCTATGTGATTGCATCAAAATTGCTATTAACAGAAAAACCACACATTTCATTTTTGAACCGAGTATTAAAATGAATTACAAATTTGCATTTTATTCTAACCTAACTCATTATACTTGCAGCTGTTTACATTACTGCAGAAAGAAAAGGACTTCAGACTTCAGTCCCCATGATATCCCATGTCTATGCTACTTAAATCTTCTTTACAGTAGTGTGATTATGAGAACCATATAAAAGGTTGAAAGTTGAATGTTTGCTTTTAAAACATTCAGCATTTGTATCAGAATTCTCCTGCTGCATCCTAGACTACGAGTTTCAGAACTCTCTTCATTTAAGAAGTTATTCTCTTTGGGGTTTTTGTCCTCTCTGATCAGGAGGGTAAACACAAGCAAGGAAGAATGGTCACATCCCAGTGCCTCCGTTGGCAATCCCCGAGGCTGAGGAAGAGCGCAAGGAGAGTTAGGCATTTAAACTGAAATATGAATGTCTCCCTGTCATTTGTTATATTGTAGGGAATAAAGCTTTTTGTTTGCATTTACAATATTTTGAAGTATCATGTGCTTTTCTTTTCCACACTCAAATGCATTACAACTTCTCTACTTCCTTCCTCTGCTCAGTTGTGATTCTTTAAATTAAAAAAAAAAAATAAATTAGCTTTTGTCAGGACAGCTGTATTGTCTCTGAACTCCTGCTGCTCATAGCTTGCAATTGTGTTCACCTGTGCTGAGTCTCTTTCTCTCAATATCAATTCCGTTATTGTGTTAGGAATACAAGTTAGATGAAAAATACCGTGTACTGTAAGCAGGATTCATACATAGCTGTTTGAACACAGGTCCTAGTATTTCTCCTGGATCTCCTTCAAGTCCACTGGTTTTCCCAAATATTCTGGCAGCAACACACTTAGTTTCTTGCTAGGTTTTCTAGCATCTTGGATTTGGATACTAATGCACTGGTAATCTGCTATAATTCTTCAGTTGGCAAGAGATAGGTGTGCTAGATTTTAATGCAGGATCTTTGAGATACACAGGAGATACAGATTTATTTCACCTACTGCATGAAACCTAGGGACTTCCTAGTATTACCTACCCATTCACGAAGAGATTATATTATCTTCAAGAGATATTTAGCAAATGCACTCCACAAAACTGCAGCAAAGAGTTCGATGTCTTTATAGGCAAAGGAAGTAAGTTGTCATTCTCAACTGCCCCTGTTAGAAAGACAAGTGCTCTGTGCCCCCTCATACACTGCGCAAGTAGCGAGAGGAGCTGTTATGACCCTCCTGTTTTTCTATAGTTCATCAGTCTTCATCCATCTTAATTGTGCTCCTGATTACTAGCTTCTGTTTCCACCTTGACTACAGTGTTTCTTTAAATTCTCATAACTTGACAAATATGTCATGCAACCAAAAAAAAAAAAAAAAAGATATCTGAAGCTTTGCCATTCCTTTAGTGATTCTGAGAGTTGTCATTGTTATTTAAAGTGGCCTTTTTCATCCTTGTGGATTTTAATACCTTCTCACATGGTACTAAGTGGATCTATTAATTTCTTATCACTTTCCCTCTGAGGTGGTTAGTATGCTTTCCATGCATAGGAAGCATGGATGCGTGATTACACTTTTTGTGTCTCGTTGCCTTTTGCTGATAGTAGTAGAAAATCAATTCTTTTTAGTCACTGTGATAGAAATGCAATTAATATATATTGAGCCAGATACACTTAAATCTCTTGAAAGATGACTATGTGGTTTTGTCTGAGTTGCGATGTGATTTAACAGCTAAGGTCACGAGCAGATTTCCCCTTTCTGTATCGCATGGCTGCTAAGGAAAAACTGCCAGAAAAAACAAACTTCAATTTACTAGCCTCTGTCTAGAGCTAGTTTTGGCAATAAAACATATAGAGCATACAGGAACAGCTGTAAGAATGTTAAATATACCACGTGACAGATTTTTGTGCAAGGTCAGCCCATCCAAAAAGTCACTGCCTCTTTACCTCCTTGAGGCACCCTTTCTGAGTATAATTTAAATGAGATTTAATTAAATTGGACTGTCTTCTCAGTCTTTTTTTAAATGGGACACCTGTCTTCCAATGCCACATGTGTTTCTGGACTTTTTATTATTACTATTTTGGGAAAATTATTGAGGCGGAAGAGCTAAGAAAAGCCAAGGAGAAGGATGGGTGATTTGTTTGGCATAACACTAGGACAATAGCATCAAGCTCTTCTGTAGCACTTGAGTGGCATTTATTATCTATGGATCCTATATTTTAGAATAAAGAATACAAGGCATGGAGTGGGGGAATTAGGTGCTCACAGTCATACAGTAGATCAGTGACAAAGGCTGATTTCTTGTCTCCTGGCCCAGGCTGCTGTTGCAGATTCACTTAACATTAACTAGCAGGGGGTGGAATTTTATTTTCAGAGGGTTGAGTAATTGTACATAACAGATTATTTTCTCCATGAAACCATGAAAAACTGAAAATTTGCAAAGTTATTTATTTTTAAATGTTATCGTTGTTCTTTAATTCATTTAGCCATATGCATCCGCGTTTCTCAGTAATTGCTCAGACAAGCACAAGTAATTAAACAAGAAGACAATAAAATCATAAAAAACAAATAATGTAGATAAGCTTTCAGTGACACTTTCAACCTACTGGAACAGTCCAATTGTTTCACAGCTTGTTCTCCATCATGGCTGAGTATTCAGCAGCTCACAACAGTTGGAGGGCTCGGCAGAGCTCAGCCCAGGTGAGAACTGAGCCGTGGAAGCAGCAGGACTTGCTCTGCTGGGATATGGATGGGGAGTAACCCTATATCATACTTCTGGGGGCACCAACTGATACTGCTGTAAATCCTCACAGAAATAGGAAGATATTTTTCTCCAGAGGTGATCTCAGAGGCGGGATATGGCACTTATGGTTAAGCTAAAGGAGAATAAATCCAACTGTGTTTAAACCTATTAAAATGTATGAATAATGTGATGCATCCAAATAAGTTTAATTACATTTTTCAAATTCTCTGTATATTCACACCCTCAATTTAAATTGTAATTCACATTTTCATTGCAATTGTTGTTATGGTTGTTACAGTAATTGGTAAGCGGTGTAGCTGAAAATGGCATAAAAGAAATGTTAGGTTAGGGGGAAAAAATATCTTTTGCAGGCTGTACCTGGGTGGTGCTGTGTGTTGGACCTTCCGTATGGTTTGCTAGACAGCATCAGAGCAGCTTCTGAGGTTCAAGGTTTTCCTCAGGTGTGATGAGGAAAGATTGTGTATACCATCACTCCAGCCCACATCCACCTTAACAATGCATATAGCAAAAGGCACAGCTTATCTAATTACTGTTCATGATTCACTTCATACTCATGGTCTTATAAGCGATTCAGACCTTCAATTTAGTATCATAAACAAACACAAAAAGGACAGAAATAGCTTCATGGTACTAACAACCAATTCTTTACATAGCTCAAATTGATTTATTCAGGTCAGAAATCAATGATGGTTTCATTTCTGCACCTGGCAGGATAACTATTAACATTTAAAACTTTCACAGACATAACTACTTTAAAAGTCATACTTCTATCTGAATATTTTATCTACAATGTTTACATGTGACAACGAAGATCATGGTAACTGAAAGAAATAAGAGTGGAATATGCTGCTGCTTATTATTTCAGTTGTGTTTACTTCATGCGTCCGGCAACATTTTGCATATTGTCACTCATAGCTTTGCCTTTAGAAGCACGTAAGCAGTTATTTTTGGCCCTGTTTCTGTGCGTATTTCACACACTAGAGAAAAATTTGATGATCTGTTCTTTTGTGTATAGAAAGCCATAAGTCTGAGTAGATGGACTAAAATTGCATGCAACCAATTTTAAAAGTGAGTAGTCTTGTATGAGTTTACTTTTTGATTTTGCTAAAGTCTAGGGAAATGTAGATAAGAATAAGTGAGAATAATTACATATTTTAAGGAGTTATTGGTCTTTTATTAGACAACAAAATAATAATGAAGAACTGTACTTTGAAAGAAATCTTACTGTCTTCTCCATGAATGTTTATGCTATTGTATCATAGCATGGCATTTTTTACCATCGTGATTTTTTATATTGTTATTGTTTTAATTTAGGTTTTTTTCTTAAGTATTTGATCATGTAATAGCTTCCACATTACTAGTTTATTGTAAAGATAACATAGATATCTAGGTATCTAGTACTAAAAATACAAACTTGATACAGAAAAAATAGGATTAAAGAAAAACAGACCAATTAGTTTTAGTGCAGGTCATTGTAATGTAACAAAAAAAATCTGCAAAGGGCGGTATTTTTCATACCTGAGTGAAAATGTGGGTTAGCTGTCATATCTCTGAGATATTGCCCAGTTACCACTAACAACATTGATTCTTCTTCCAAGGTAAAATGTATTTTTTTACTTTACTTTGACTTCCTGGCTCCATTCGGGATTAGAGACACAATTTTTGCTGTATTTCCAGTTGAATCACAGAGGAAGAAGAAGAAAATCTGTTCTTGTTCACATCTGGTATCTCCTTTACAGACCTTTATGTTTAACTGTGTGCCCAGAGACTGCCCTGCGCCTGCAACTGTCATGAGAATTATGTTTACAATGTTCTTACTTGCACAGGTACTCCCAGGTCAAAAGTTTCAGACTTGTTTAGAAGGGATACCTGGCTCTACAGATAGGATTCAAATATTTTTCTTACTTATCTGGTGATACAAATGTTGTTTCAGTTTGATTTTTGTAGTTACGCGTGCTGATAAAAGCAATGTTTGACTGAAATCATCAAAGGAGACAAGAAGTTACTGACTGTCCTCCAAGATGTGTTTTATGATCTCAGTCTCTGGATGGACAGCCACAAAACCAGGCTTTTATTCAAAGAGATCAGTGTTCCCTATCATTATAGGCAGATCAGTCAGTAATTTTGCTGCTGAAGCAGATATCAGCATTTTGATGTGGAGAAGGCAATGGGGATAATGAGTACTGGTGCTTACTGCTATGTAAACAATAGTGAATGAATATATTACTTGCAATGTCTAACTTTAATTTAAAAATGTATTAAAGCACTTCTTACCCCACTCCAATATGAATTCTGATTGAAGAGCATCAACAATGTACTTTGCCTTTTGTGTATTAATTCATTTTATTCTCTGTGCTACAGTATTCAAAAACAGATAGGCATCCTGGGCCTATTTTGGACAAAGTTATGGAGTCTAGTTTTTCAGGCCCTCAGTCTTTCCCAGAGGCCTTGTCTCCTGACAGAGGATCCCAGCCCATCAAGCAACATAGGTAAGCAAACGGCTGTCTGATGGGAGATTCGGCAGGCTGCCGAGGGATATCGTTGAACTGGTGATACGTGTGCAGGATTATTGTGCGCTGTGACTAGGAGAGATGCTGAATGATGTGGTACCAACAGAGCCTCAGCCAACTTGTTAAGCAGATGTCCAAGCATTTTCTTAACTGCAGACATAAAAGACAAGAACAATGCATACCAACTTTATCTGCATTTTTTAAAAGTCCTAGAGGAAGCGTTGAAAGACACCATCCAAGCTGTAGACACATATCAGTGAATGAAACAAGTGTAGTTTGAGAAACGATTAAAAACAAGACTTTTCTTATTGATGTTCCTGAAGATAATAAGTCGTTTGCTGCAGAAAGACATGGTTGCAAACTTTCAGCCTTTCTCACTGTTTCTTTAAACAAATAATACTTGAAATGAATAATGACTTATTTGTGAACACATGGTGGCCTTTGAAAACTAGTCTTTAAAAAGTTTGAGTGGAGGAAAAAAAGAGGAAAGTGATGCATCACTGGGTGGCATTTGGATTAGAATTCTGCTTATAGTCTTTTTGGATGAAAAAGAGTGCAGATGCTTCATTACAGGACTAGAAACCAAACTCGTGTCTCGTATAAGCAATAGTGTTGGTGGAATGGCAGTGGTAACGTCTGGTCCAGAGCATGCTGAGAATGATGAGTTGAGAAATGTTTTAGCTAAATAATCTCGAGGGGAAGACTTATTTATTAAAAGGATTTTTTTTTTTTTTTTAATTACTAAAAAGTAAAAAAGGAGGCTGGGTTTGTGTGAGGTTATGACCTAGCTTCTGTAGTATTTGGTGCATTTCCATTGCAATCTCCAGTCAGCTACATGTTCCTTCTCTTTTGAATGACTTATTTGCTTAACCTGACAAAGTGCAGCATATGAGCCAGGAAGGGATATTTTGGTCCTATCTACTTTTATCTTACTTAAGCCTTTAATTTGGCATGAAAAAATAATGCCAACTGTCATGTTAGATCCATTTCTTAGGGTTTATTCCTTATTATACAGAGGTTTTCAAAATATACTTAATAATTTACTGAACATAGATGAACTATGGAACTATTGCCTAGAATGCTTTCCACTGAAGTCCTGGGGGTGGAATTTTATCTCTATTTAGGCAGAAGGTGAGGTTAATAAAAAAACACAGTGACATTCCCTTACCTTGCATAATGATTGCAATATCTGAGTTTGAAATGTTTTAGATGCTGTGCCATGATATTAACCTAAGCTTAAAAATGTGGAAATAAGTTAAAGACTGAAAATATTCTTCTTCTAAACAGAAGAAACAAATTTCTTCTGTTTAAGAACATCACTTAAAATAAAAGCTGAATGACTCTCTAGACTCCCTGTTTTCCATAGGGAAATTACAGAATAAGCCACACTGAATTTAAAGTGAACAAATGATGAATCCCAGATTGTTCATTTTAACACCTTTGCACACAAAATCTCTCTTTCCCAGGGGGGAAACAAAACAAAACAAACAAACAGAAAAAACCCCAACCCACCAACCAAAAAAAACCCCAACAGTCATCTTATTTGCAGATGTCAAGCACTGAGCTATCTGAGGAGTCATTGCTTCAGAACTGTTTTAAAATGTGGAATGATTAGCTTTATTTATAAATAATTATTTTTGTAGTTTTATAACTTAAGATTTATTATACAAGGCCCTTGCTTTATAAAACATGCAACAGATTTGAACATTTAAGACTTCAAGGCTGTCTTTGATTTATGCACCATGTGATGGCTTCCTAATTTACTCAGATTCTTTAGTGTCTAAATAGCGTTCAGTGTGGCCAAATGATCAAATGTGGCCAGATGAGGAAACTTCTTTTTTTACTAGGATACATTATGTCCCAAACATCCCTTCATTCCATTCCAGACTTGATGTGAGCCTGGAAAAATTACAGCAGCTCTGCAGGTTTTCTGGTTTATGCTGTTGTTTTTTTATTGTTTTGTTTCTGCTTGCTTCAGAAATATTTTATTCCTCATCCAGACCTGTTTTCTCTGCTGGTGTTTTCAAGGGCACTAATGAAGGGTGGTTATTTCTTAAAATCAGGAGCTATCTATTTTCAGTTCCTAAAACCAATACCATTTAACCTGGCAGTAAGATTATGAAGGTGGGGAATCATTTGGGGGTCCTGAAATTTGACTGACAGAGATCACCTAGTTATTTCACTCCAATTACTAGGCATTAGCAGTTTTCTGTCTCTACCAACCTCAGATGCATGCAAAGAATTACTGCAGAGACCAAATTGAAAATTTGAATCTCCACTGAATCTTACTCCTAAAATATTTTACCTGTATTATGCACTGTTATTACAGTAGAATAATTTTACATCATTTGCTTGCTTGTGTAAAACAACTCTTAGTACTGTCAGAAATGGAAAGTAACAAATGTGTTTAATCAGTAAACTTCCTGTAAAGTATACAATGCACTCAAAAATTAATCTCAGATTATCTTTGATATAGTAAGAAGAAAACTCATACTGTCTTAATTTCTAACAGATAGAAACAACTTAGAGTTTGTTAATTATGTGATTGAGCTGTGATCCCTTTGAATAGCAGTTTTCTTGGTAATTAGTCATCCTGACTTTCATTCATTGATTCAGTCATCATTGATTTTAGTGGGATTCATTTCAGAGAATACCATGATGAAAGCTAAACAAAGAGGCTTTCAGCCTAGAGCAGTTGTACTGTCTTACAAAAATGTCAAAATAGGATAAACTTAGTCTAAAATTTAAAATAATTTTATGTACTTTTAACAACATGAAAGCCACAGTGAAAACATTTTTTTTTTATTTAGTAAGCATTTTACTCTTTATGCTCCTAATATAAATGATTCAGTTTAAATTAAAAGAAAGAGTAAATTAAAGTTATTCTGCAAATAAGACTATTGAATTTCAAAGAACAAGTTTTGATAAATTAAAGCCACTAACAATGTAAAGGCAGAGGAAACCTGCAAGGGAGAAAGTACAAGGAATCTGATATTCTCCCAAGGAAAGAAGATGGTTTTCTGGATTGTTCTTGCTGTATAAAAACAATAAGTGCTATACAGGAAGAAGCAAAGCAGCTGGTGGGACAGAGGTAGTATACAAAGCAGTTAGGGCCATTCTGAATGAATATATTTAATTTTTCAGTTAGGATTCTTATTTGAGGACAAGGTAGAATGGGAATAGAATCAAATATATGAAAATAGACATTACTACAATCAAAGTGGAAGTAAAATGCAGAATTCAGAGCCCTCAAGTCAAGATGGTCAAGTTAATCTTGATCAAAAAAGTCTATAAGGAGAACTGGCTCATGAAATTTCAGGTCTGGTAGCAAAATATTTTAAAATGCCAGCTGTGCCCTGTGATGATGGAATAGCAAATGTCAAATATTTAGGAAGAGGAAAAACTAGTCGAAGGAAATTAGGACCTATTATGTTGAATTAAACTAGTCAAGGCTTTAGGACAAATGTGAGGGAAGCAGATTCTTTGGGTAGATGTAAAAAAGGCTAAAAATTATTACTTTTTATTTGGTGTAGAAGAGCTAGATCTCTAAACAGGCTCAGTCAATGTTTGATTTGTTGTCACATGTCTAATGCCTTTAATGGGAGAAAGTAGAGAGGCAGAAAAACTATTATTCAGATATACAGAGGCGGTTAAAAGGTAGATAGTAAGGACTTACATTGAGAAGGTACATGCTGAACTGAAGACATTCACCAGTGGAGCACAAATGGAGCTCTCAAAAAATTAGTCAACATTGGGGACAAATTTTGTTTATTGCTTTTGTGCCTTACTTTGGCACAAAAAAAGTTGGAAACTACTGCAAAAATTAGCTAAAAGATAGATTCAGTACAGATAAGGATCTAGATATAAAGAATGAATTGAATAACTTTGAAAAGTGGCATAACAGAGGTGGATTGAAGCTCAGCAGTACTAAATACAAGGTAAGGCATTTGAGAACTACTAACAAAATTTAAGAAACAATGAGGAAGAAAATGTTCAGTATATACTGCTTGATCAAAGGATAACCAAGCCACAAAGTGATGCAGCTGTGCAAAAGATAAATGGGATGAGAGGAAGTATTAATTGAGACATACAACAAATAGATGTATACTCATAATAAATAATTTTAAACTGAAAAGAAGCTTTGAAGTTCTCAATATAGAACAACTTTCTGGAGTAGTAGCCTGATTATCAATGTAGTTTTAGGATGGAGGTTGTTCAATGCATTACAGGGAGTATATGATGAAGTTAGGGCAAATGATTAAACAGTACCACTGAGGTACCTCCAAATGCTCTGTTCCTTTTTTCTATTGTATGTATCTATTTGGCAGAACTGGGATGGTGAACAGATTATATAGGTAGTGTTGAAGGATTTACATAGAGTTGCAAAGTCCCCGATTAGCACCAGCACATACTGTTCCTGAATATGTGAATGTGTAATGGAAGCAACAGTGCTTCTGTTTCAGAAATCGAGAGTAGATTTGTAGGTCTAGGCTGGCTGCTGGAAAGTTGCTCCTGCATATGCAAAGGGAGAAGAGAGTTTTGCAAATAGCAGGCTGCAGTCTCACTCCATCACCTGGGCTGAGAACCTGACCAGCTGTAAAGGTTCATAAACATGAGCTAGGAAACACAGGTCATTGTGCCATTGTAGATTAGAATCATAGAATAGATTGGGTTGGAAAAGACCTCCAAGATCATCAAGTCCAACCCCTGATCCAACTCCAATTACTATATCATGGCACTAAGGGCCACGTCCAATCTCTTTTTAAAAACCTCCAGGGATGGTGAATCCACCACCTCTCTGGGCAGGCCGTTCCAGTGCCTGATTACCCTTTCTGTAAAGAATTTCTTCCTAACATCTAACCTAAACCTCCCCTGGCAGAGCTTGAGCCCATGCCCCCTTGTCCTATTGTTGGTTGCCTGGGAGAAGAGACCAACCCCCACCTGGCTATAACCTCCCTTCAGGTAGTTGAAGAGAGTGATGAGGTCACCTCTAAGCCTTCTCTTCTCCAGACTAAACAACCCCAGCTCCCTCAGCCTCTCCTCATAGGACTTGTGCTCAAGTCCTTTCACCAGCCTCGTTGCTCTTCTCTGGACCCGCTCCAGCACCTCAATGTCCTTCCTGAACTGAGGGGCCCAGAGCTGAACACAGTACATAATTACTTTGCAAAGACACAGGAAAAGAGTTATATTTGGGGTACAGGACACTATAGAGAAAAAAGAGATTAAACTATTAAGTTCAGCTCTCTTATGCCACAGCTTTTTTGGCATAATAATCTCCTTAAAGTCTTAGTATTATTTTAATCACATACGGCTTTGTTGAAGTCCCAAATGTTATGTTAACTTTCTCGCTTTGTGGAGCCGTCTATTACACAGGCTCCAACACAGACGCACTCATTGTGTGTCATCTTGTTCTTGTAAACAGTCTGACAACTCTTTGTTGTCAGGGCTTTGTCATACAGCATTATTATTGTTGCATGGTATTTATTGAGAGATGCTTATGTTCTCAGGTATAACAGATCCTTTTTATTAAAACTAAAAATTGGTTGAAAGTCTGAATAGTTGATCTGTACAAATGTTAGCAGTTGATAGTCTAACAGCCTAAAAATGTGGCTCCTAGGGAACATCAGAAGACACTGTCTATCTGGCATCTAGCTCTGTTATTGGAGTATATATTTACTGTTTCTGTCTTGCGAGGACGAAAACCGTGTCTTCAACACTAATATTTGTATCTCGTGAACAGTAGGTAGTAGAGTGTATAGTACAATATCTCTCTCTCTGTAGTTTTTGCAGGTAAAGAACCAGAGTATTTGCAATCAATTTTAGAGCTTTCCTTCCTCCCTCAACTTTGTATCTTTCTTTTCATGAATTACAATCATGAAAAAAGAGGAAAGAATAAGTAAAATAGATATATACACAACCATAAGCACTATTTCTGTAGCTCCATTGTGCTTATTAAACCAGAAGGGAAGGATTGGGATCCCATGGAAAGTTTTAACACTTTAATTGTCATCCTCTTGTTCATGCTTTTCATGTTCCTGTTGACAAAGTTACTTCTGAATGTGTTCATAATGTGATGTATAAACAATTTTGTTTAATAATTAAGTGAAAGTTAGTACAGGAGGATTCCCAGAGTTACTGTAAATTCACTGCAATTCTTCTCTTCATCAACATGATTAACTGCACTTGAGAGTTGTGTATCTGCCTTGAGAAGAGAATACTCCACCTGGTGAGACAGACTTTGGTTTTACTTGGTTGCTCAACCTAAAGAAAATTTTCACGCAAAATTTGCAACAATTAATCCCAAGTTCTTAATTAACTTTAGAGATGGTTTAACTACTTCTTTCAAACCATTAATTCATCAGAACTATATTTCTTCCTAGTTTACGCATTACTTGTAAACCAGTTCAAACCAGGACACTGACATTCATAGCAGCTTTGTGAAAAAGGAAAAACTTCATTATGGTGGAGTTACTTTTTCATAGAACTTTTAACAAAAATTGTTGCTGTCTTGTCTTTGGTGCTTCAAGAAATGAGCGTTATCCTGCAGCTTGCAGCTACACTGTCTGTAAATATTTCCTGGTCCTTCCTAGTGAATTTTTCTTGTCCATGACCACAAGTGGTTTTTGTTCATTTTCCCCTCGTTTTTTTCTGTCAGAAATGTTGAAAGCATAGGAACCTCACATTAGCAACAAATGGTTGCTTAAGCTCTGTTGGTGGTGGAGCAGCTGTGATCGCAGGAAGATGTTGGCATGTGCCAGATCCCTTCAGTGTAACCAGCCCACGCACCTTTTGCGGACTGTAGCATCTGGTGTTGGCTGTAGCAATGGGAGTTTCAGTGCACGTTGAAGGAAGTACAGATAAAGTGCTTACATGCATCTTTGCTACAGTTTATACCAATTATCTGAGGTATAGCTGTATGTTGCAATTACACATGCAGAGTTGCTGTGAATTTGCATATGCATATTATTAGGTGGGAGACCATGTGCTCTCATCCAATGAGGAAGATGCGCGAGGGCATCAAACCAACCACAATTAAACAATGCCTTTCTAGTTTCAAATATTTGCAATCAGTTTAAAGTCTGTTAAGTTAATCAGTTTGTTGACTTTTCTAGTACATTGATGAATATACTGCAATCAATAAAAAACCCAGAAATTCATTATCCATCATTAATTATTCATTCAGCTGCATATTTTAAGATCCCCTGCTGTAAAAATCTCAGACTCTCCTGAGCAGAAATTGACAATTTTTTTGTGATGTGGTAGTGTTATTTTACAGAAAATGAACTGTAACTCACAATTTGAACTCAGCCTTCAGAACTGAAAGGCCAGTACTTCAGTTTTTTAAAAAAGTTTTTTTCTCAGCCTTCTTAATAGCTAAGAAAAAAATCTATTTAAGGAAGCATCGAAAATCCTTGAGGGAGTGCTATTGCTATGGGTTGTTGATCTTTTCAATTAAAAAGCATCAGGAAAGCAAAAGTATGTAAGAGAACAGAGCAGAAACCATGATGGAACACTGCTAGCCTGAGCAGTAGGATAGAGACTGTTGAATTTCTTTCTAATGTTTTGACTTTGGGGAGAAAAGGTCAGTTTTAATGGAAGTGTATGTTCCAAGAGAATTTGTCCAACATATTTGGTCCAAGTAAAAACCGCTTTGGGAGTAGATGTGGCCCTAACTGTAAATAAAATTCCCATTAAGTATAGAATGCAGATTGCTTTTAAGTCACATTATAATAGAAAAAGAGAAGCAAACTTATCAAAACTCTTTTGCATAGCTGAATTTTATCAGAAGTTGAAATTATTCATGTAACCAAAAATAATGATTCTTAAAATGCATCTACAAAACCTATTTTAAAACATCCTTAAGGATATGACAGAATATTAGGTAATACATATGCATTTCTGAGACCCAGGAGATGTCAGGAGGAATAGGAGTAGCTGGAAAAATTAATAGCCAGTCACACTGTGCAGTACTTGTGACCTGTTAACAGTAGAAATAGGTTATGTCTTGCCTTAATTCTGTGTCCTCTTATTTTTGCATTAGCAACAGCTGAATTTATGGTTAATATACCAAAACTATGGATTCTAGTTACCTTTTAATTCCTGCACAAAATGGAAAAAATCCATTCTCCTGCTTTTTTTTTTGCTGAAACAGTACAAAAATGTTGTTTACAAAAGCAATTTTCTAAAATAAGTAGAAAACTATTACTTGTTTTTGTCATATTCGAGTTTGTATTATATCACATAAAGAAACAATACAGCATTTATCTATGTATAAAGAAGAAAACAACCAATGTCTCTAAATCAAGAATAAAACCATATAGAAAACAAATTTAGTTCAACATGGAGAAAACTTGCATCACAGATTATTTCTTCAAGCTGCATTTTATAAGCATTACTTCTATTTTTTCCCAATTGATGCTGTTGTATCAGGAAGCAGGACCCTGTAGGCTTATAGATGATACAGTGAGCTCTAAGTCTAAGATGTGATTTTGAGCTCAGCTGTAGGTATGATGGAGCTGTGCTGTTTATTTATACTGTCTGAGGAGTCAACTCTATATAGCAGGGTTATCGTACGCAGCATGGAAAAAAAAAAAGAAGCGTTCTGGTTGATGACAAGTTGAACATGAGCCAACAGTGTGTCCTGGCTGCCAAGAGGGCCAACCGTGTCCTGGAGTGCATCAAGCACTGCATTGTGAGCCGATCGAGGGAGGTGATCGTCCCGCTTTGCTCTGCACTGGTGCTGCCTCACCTTGAGTACTGTGTGCAGTTTTGGGCACCAGAGTATAAAAAGGATCTAAAGCTACTGGAGAGTGTCCAGAGGAGGGACACTAAATTGGTGAAGGGCTTAGAGGGGAAGCCACATGAGGAGAGGCTGAAGTCTCTTGGTTTGTTCAGCTGGGAGGAGACTGAGAGGAGGCCTCATAGCAGTCTAAAACTTCCTCACAAGGGGAAGAGGAGGGGCAGGCGCTGATCTCTTCTCTCTGGAGAGCAATGATAGGACCAGGGGAAATGGGAGGAAGATATGCTAGGAGAGGTTTAGGTTGAACATTAGGAAAAGGTTCTTTAGGCAGAGGGTGGTGGAGCACTGGAACAGGCTCCCCAGGGAAGTAGTCATGGCACCAAGCCTGACAACATTCAAGAAGCATTTGGACAAGGCCCTCAGACACATGGTCTGAATCTTGGGTTTCTCCTATGCTAGGACAAGACTTGGACTCGATGATCCTTGTGGGTCCCTTCCAAGTCACAACATTCTATGATTCTATGATTTAAGCAATTATTTTCATTCCTAGGAGAGAGGTGGTGTATTAAATATGGCATAAACAGCAGCTAACTGGGGATTATAATACTGTATTTCCATAGAGAATTTCTACTGACGTCATAGACTAACACAGCAAAGTTTATAAAAACAGTAATCCATGTGTTATTAATCCATAATCTTTTCAGAAATTTACACTTTTGCTGTGATAATTTTTACTGTACTCTTGATGTTGTTCCTAGAAGTCTCTCGTCATGCTGCAGCCCAGGACAAAAAAGTGGGATGCTACATAGAAATGCCTTTCGGAGGACTCCGCCCTTACCTCGGGGTAGGTTCAATGGAATTACAGGACCAGCATATCAACAGCTAGAAGAGTCAAGGATCACAGACCAGGACACAATACCTTGTCACGGGTAAGTAATAACATAACTGAAGTGAGCCAGTTTGTGAGTGGCTGCTGCTATGTGGTTAATCTGCTTTGCCATTACAGACCCTCCAACACTGTTGTAGTGTACTGTGGATCCTGGGTTTGTAGTACTGAAAGCAGAAGAATTTTTTCAGCATAGTGGATTTTTTAAAGTAATACTTTTTTATTTGGCTGACTGCCCTTTTTGAGCCTTTCAAAGGCCGTAAAAGGAGTGATCAGAACAAACTATAAGTGTTTGGCAATGTTACTCGTTATAACTGATGCTTTTTCTAATGGTGCCATGATTTGCAGTTCTAGTAAAATTTGCATAACATTTTTTCTTTCCATCAGCACTGGGTAAATAACAGAAAATAATTCTGAAATACGCTTTTCATGTTTTTTTAAATATGTCTATGTACATTGCGAAGTATATTTGCTGTAGACTGGAGACTGATCACTTCACACAAATTTGTCTTTGAAAATGCACAAAGAATCAAGTATTTTTCATTTTTTAATTCAACTTATTAGAATAGTGAATGTGAACTCCAACTGTACATAAGGTCTGAATTTCAGAAGTGCTCCTAAGCACCTACAGCTGCCTTTGAAGTATTTTGCAATTGCTAAGATACTTTGCATAATATTTACATATCCCTATAGATTTCCAAAGACTCTCAAGAATCAGTACAAACACATTATGTGTAAAACTAGGACCAATATCTGAAATAAAATAAAACAAGACCAGTTTCATTTGGAGACATGTGAGTCACAACTATGTGCAGTGAAGTGAACAGTTACTCTGCGAGAAAGCCACTGTACATTTTGGTATCAGAACTGGCTTTATGAAGTGCAGAACTGAGGTCACCTACATGTTTAATTTTCCTCACAGAAGAAAGGAGCTATTATAACTATCCACTCAAATTGTCTCATACAAATTTGTCTCATACAGATTTGTCTTATACTTCTTTCATTGTTACTCCTTGCATCTTTTAAGGGAAAATTTGTTTATTACTTCTTGCAGTAAATATATTATTGTTCCTTTGTATGATAATGTGTGTATAATCCCTTACAAGAATTGTGACTCCAAATGCAACCCTTCCAGGAAGAGACAGGCTAACACCCTTCCCTCTGCAATGGCAGTGTCCTGCCGCACGAGCTCTGGAGAGTGCTGCAGCCTCTTCCTAGGTTGAGAAGTGAGGTAGAAACCAGCAAAGCTTATTTACACCCAAAGTCTTATTTATGCTTCTCTAGAAAATCAGTGTGTGATATTACAAGCATCATCTTCTACTGGCCTATATTTAAAATTTGCAGTTCTGCAAAAGTTTGATATTTGGCCTGGACTGTGACCCCTTCTGGCCTCAATCCACTAAAGCACTTCATATTTTGTGTATTAGGGATGTCTGTAGAATTAGACCTTCCTAATATCGACTAACGATGGGACCTTTCTATGAAGTCCTCTGAGTGCATCAGCAGGTGATGGTGTGACATGGAGTCACAGCAGTCTGTATATCACAAATACAATACCAAAAGTCTTCAGCTGGTACCCATGGAAATTAAGTTTTAAAATGTCAATTTTAGACATGAAAACAAAAGCAATTATCTGATATTGTTTTACTATAGTGCTTTCCTGTATGAAGATTTTTGTGAAAATGAAGTCTTTTAAGAGTGTAATAAAACTTTTTGCAAGTCATTTTGTGTTGCAGCAACAAAATAATCTCTTCAACCAAAATATAAATATGCATCTTATCTCTGAACAAAAATAAAAAATAATTCAATAATTCTACTTTATGTGGGATTTTTCTAATTTAGGAAGAGGTTTCCCCCAAATCTGATGGGGGATTTTTTTACCATCTAAATGTTGGCTAGTTTCATGTAGTTGGTATTGTCTTTAGATTTCTAGCCCAAATAAAAAGTTCCCTTGTTCCCTGCAGAAATTAA